GGTCCCCCAGGCCTCCCGCCCCGCCCCTGCCCCGCCCCCACTCACTGCACCACAGTGTGCCGGCTGGATGTGAAGTCGTATTTATGGCCATAGATGAAGGGCACCCGGAAGTAGAAGAGCAGGTAGATGAAAAGGGGCCCCGCGTACTCCGTCAGGAAAACCTGGGGGTACATGGCGAGGTAAGTCATCCCAGCATGGCCGATGGGAGAGGAGGTCGTGGGTGTGGTCAGGACTCACCGTCACCCAGCTGATCTGGGCCCCCAAGTCCCGGAAGTAGAGTGTGGCCGTGGTGCCCACAGGCAGCTTCTGCAGAACATCCTCATCCTTCAGAGATTTGCCCTCTGCAGGGAGGCAGGCCAGGGCTCAGGGGCTGGCTGTCCTGGCTGGCTGTCCCACTGCCACCCAGGAGCCCAGGGAGTGGGCCGAGCTGTACTCACTGGGGTCCAGACGGAGGGACTGGCGGGCAGGGTACCACTGCGGATCTGCAGAAAGAACGGGGTCACAGCCCACAGTCTGGCAGGGCCCAACTGCCTGCTGCCCACCCACTGTGCCAGCTTATCAGGGTACCCAGGGCTCAGGGACCCCACAGCTCCTCCCACCCCGGGCAAGGCCTCTGAAACCCACATGGTTCCAGGACACAGGCCGGAATACTGTGGGCAGAAGCACGATCTTGGCCTTCCGAAAGCCCAGCAAGGGCATTCCTGCTGATGGTCATTCAGGGGCATCTGCCCCAGTCAAGCCCATAGAAGCCTGAGCCACATGGGCATCTCTGCAGGCCCTTGGAGAAGCATGCAGGACAGGGTCCCACCCAGAGGCCTCTGCCCAGAGGGGCAGCAAGCAGCAGTGTGGCTGGGCCTTGGACTCACGGGTCTTGGTGAAGAGGTTCTTGATCTCAGCAATGGTGGCGTGGGGCTCCACCTGAGGGAAACACAGGCCATAGGAACGTCAGCCCTGGGGGACCCCTGACCCAAAATTGGGAGGCGGGGGATGGACAGGGGGCCTGGACCGCTGCTAGAGGAAGAGGGAAGGGTTAGGATCCAGGCCCCCACCCGCATGGCCAGGGCAGCAGTAGTAAGTGCCCTGCCAGTGTGGGGACAGCCGTGGGCCTGGGGGCTCCAGTTTCACCAGGCAGCCAGGATGCCCCTGTACCCGGCTAGGAGACAGGTTAAGCATGGAAAGCTAGACCTGTTTCTCTGCCTGTCCTCTCCACCTCCCACCTATGACTCCTGCAGAGTAAAAGCCCTTGGTCCAGTCCAGACCTCCCCGGGGATCGTCCAAGCCCCTTCCCCCAGACTTAGCCTTGGCACAGGCAGGTCCCAGTCCCTCACCTCCTTCCCAGGCCCGGAAGCCCTACAGGGTTCACTCAGGCTGCCTTGTCTCCTCCCCCAGCTTGGAGCTCCCAGCCACACCCAGGGGCCATTGCTGCCCACTCTACCCCAAGTGGGCACAGTACCCCTCATGCACCTTCCAAAGGGCTGGGGGGTGGGGCATCAGGGCACAGTCGGTGGGGCACAAAGGGCCCAGCTGGACAGCTCCCAGGCTGGAAGGAACAGGGTCCTGGGCCCAGTGCCCTTGGCCCAGTGCAGCCGGCGTCACAGTCCTACCTTGTCCAGAAAACACAGCTTCTCCCTCGTCTTTGCATCCAGAATCTCCACCTCGAAGAAGAGAACAGCCTTTTTAGGTTTCTTGGCTGCCTTAGGGGGCAAGGGCCCAGGGAGGCTGTTGAGGCCAGGGCTGAGGCCAAGGCTGGCCTCCCGGGCCACCATGTTCAAGCTCATGTCCATGCCACCCGCCGCAAGCCCTGCTGCTCTGCTCTGCCCACGGTGGCCAGCAGCCTCAGCTGCCGGCCGTCAGCCCCCACCACCAATCTCCCCACGCCAAGTAGCTCTGGGCCAGGCAGGCGCAATCAAATTCTGCCGCGGTGCTGGAAAGGAGCCTGCACCTTCCCTTGGCGTTGCCAACTTCTGTGCCAGATGTAACCCGAGTGGCACCAGAGCCATGGCCTAGCTAAATATAAAACCATCCCAGGCTGAGCCCCCCCCAGGAGCCACGCAGCAGAACTCTTCTGGGGGACACTGGGAGCAACCCCCCAGGAAACCATTTGCTCTGAAAGAGGCTTGAGTGAACATGCCCCCCACCCCAACAGGGAGATTCCCAGAGGCAGGCATGCCAGCGCCTCACTCTTCTGGGGGACACTGGGAGCAACCCCCCAGGAAACCATTTGCTCTGAAAGAGGCTTTTGAGTGAACATGCCCCCCACCCCAACAGGGAGATTCCCAGAGGCAGGCATGCCAGCGCCTCCCAGCCTCCCCTGCCCAAAGCAGGTCAGGGGCCTCAGGCCAGTGGCTGGAGAAGGGTGAGAAGCCAGCGGGCAGCTCAGGCCCCAGCACCCGGCTTGGGCCTAGGGAGTTCACTGGGCTTGGAGAAATCCCAGCTGTCTTGAGAATCTGCCAGATAGATCATCCATTTCCCCTTCTGAGCTGCAAAAGACACTCCGGATTATTTTCCTTGTGCATTTGTGTTCCCAGGGAGGTGACAGATTCCGGAATTATTGGTGCAGCAAGCCTCTAAGTGTGGAAAGGATCAGGGAGAGGGGAAGTTTCAGGCAAATGCCCCCAGCCTGGGTTTATGAGGCCTCGGCTCTCCACCTCCCCGACCTCCCTCTCCACCCATTTCTTACCAGGTGTGCCTAGGCCTTGTTCAGGGCCACCTCCAGAACAGTCAGCCCAACATCAGCCTCACCCAGCCTTGAGCCCCCCAAAGCCCAGAGCCCACAGCCTGGGCCTGCCTACACTTCCTGGGTCCTCCCGAGAGAGGAGCCTGAGCCCCCAGGTGAGTGGCCCAACAATGGTGGTGCAGGGGACAATGCTGGCAGGGAAAGAACCCCGGGGGGATCTGACCCATTCACCCAAGCAGGTCAGGAAAGGCTGACGGCTGACCACAAAAGACCTGAGTGCCCCATGCAGGGCTCAACATGGGTCCTTTTAGACAGGAGTCATGGCAGGAGGGGCTGGATCTGATCCCAAGTTGGCCACTGGCCAGCACTGACTGCATACCCTTCCCACCCACAAAGCCCTCTATAGGCCCTCAGAGAGAGGCACCTGAGGAAAAGTAGCAGGAAACACTGCTCAGAGACCTAAGCTCTGTGCCAAACCCAGGCCAGGCCCCAGCCAGGGACCATCTGTGGGCTCAACCACCCACCTATACCCTGGGAGACGGGTCCACTGCTGCCAGAGCCCACCCCGAAGGAGAGGGCTTCACAGTTAAACGAGAGATGCTGGGCTCCCCTCACGCACACCCTCAATGACAGTGGGAGAGGCAGGGTGCATGGTGGGCGGCACTCAGGATGACAGCCAGCCCTGCCCTGTAGCTGGGTGACCCCGGGGACATTACTTCTCTCTGGCTTAGCATGGGACAGGTAAGAAGGTGTCTACTTGCCTGGGTTCTGAGGGTCACGTGAGACGAGGCATGAGCAGCGCCAGCCTGATGCCTGGCAAATGGAGGCCCCTGGAGGCAGCCTCACACAGGGAGGTAACACCGCAACAAGGCCAAGGGCACGGGCCTGGGGTCAGGTCACTGAAGCATGTGGGCCTTCCTAACCATCCATGATCTGTGCGCCCCACAGCATGGATGAGGACAGAAGAGGTCCCAGCACCCAAGAAGTTCTGCCTGCTGGCAGCTGTGGGTTCTGCCTGGCCGTGTTGCCCTGGGGGGCAGGTTACTGAACCCCTCTGAGCCACAGAGAGAGCAAAGCCAGACAGAGGGCTGGCATGTGGATGAGCCAGAAAAAGAGAGCCTGGCCGTACGGCCTGGAGTGTGGGGCCCCACCGAGGGGATGTGTGGGAGAGGGACAGGGGACACACGGAATGCAATAGAAAGGGTTAGAACAGCAGGGCCCGGGGTGGGCACAGGGCCTGCCCTGTGGCGCAGGTATATTAATAGTTCCCGGGCGCGGGCAGGCAGTGCCACATGCCTTCCAGCCCGTGTGGCCTGCAAGACGGCAGCACAACGGCCACTGGGAGAGGAGGCCTCCGAGTTCCTGCTCAACCACTCAGCAGCCTAAAATACAACCAGCTGCACTCCCTGCCTGGCCAGCTGCTGGGGGAGGAGTGAAATCCTACCCCTCTCCCCTGAACCCGGGCACCGGACCAGGGCCCAGGAGGGAGAGTACGAACCGTTGGGACCCCGCCTGGCTGCTGGGGAAGGGTGCTGGGCAACAAGAGGGGGCAGCCGGGAGAGGGGTCGCAGTGACTGCAGTGCCCAGAAGGCCAAGGCCAGAGAAGAGAGGCCGCCAGCGCCGCGAGGTAAGCCCCGGCTGCAGGGCAGCACCCAGGGGCCCACAGGTGGGAGGTGCCCCGGGTCAGGGCACCACAGCAGGATCACGGGATCGGCCCTCGGCTGCTCCTTTCCCATTTCCCTGCCCCAAATTCCCAGACCCAGCAGCCATGTTCTCCCAGAGTGCGGACTGGAAGGCCCAGGGCTGCACGGGACCTCTCTGTACTATTATTTTTGCAACTCCCTGTGCCTTTGTGAGTATTCTAAAGTAGAAAGCAAAATAAGTTATGATGGGTGGAGGGAAAAAATGCTGGGCGAAAGAAGCCAGACACAAAGTGTCATATACTTATATGCAGTGTCCAGAGCAGACAAAAGACTGGTGGTGTCCAGGGAAGGAGCAGGGGGGCATGGGGAGCAACGGGCACTAGGTACCTGATCTCCTTTTGGGGTGAAGACAACTGTGGAACTAGGCTGCACGATGCTGTGAGTGTACTAAATGCCACTGAACTGTTCACTCCTGAGTGGATAATTTTGTTATGTGACTTTCACCTCAACACATTTTTTAAATTAAGGGTGGGGATGGGAGGACAAACAGGCCCCAATTACCCATCAAGAGAAAAAAGGTCCCAGGGCAGGGAGCAGAAGAGGCTCCTCACCCCCAGCCATCCCGAGACTGAGGGCCTAATGTGGGGGACCCTGTCTCACACTTCCCATTCCTCGGTCCCTGAGCTTCCCACTCCCACTGCACCCCTCCCCACCCCACTGCCACCCCCACCCCCGCTCTGTGCTTCCACACACATGCCTACCCAGGCCTGAGGCCAGCCTGGGTGGGGTCCAGAGGACACCCAAGAGTGAGGTCAGAGGGCCCAGGTGGCAACTGAGCAGAGCCGCAGGCAGGGGGTTCCGAGCACAGAAGGGGAGGCGGCAGGCTCAGGCGCCATCCCTGGGGTCCACAGATGGATGAAGGGAGGCCTGTGAAGGAGTCACCGGCCCGAGGGAGTGAGGTGCCAGCGCTGGCCGCAGGCAGAGGGTATGGCCCCACGGCCTCAGGCACAACGAACGGGAAGGACAAGGACGAGGGGCAGACGCGGGTGACTCTGTGATGACAGTTCCACTAGCCTGAGAGGAATTCTCACCCAGAAGCCCGAAATTCCAGGGCCCAGCCAACAGCAACTCGTGGTAGCATGAGGTCAGGCATGGCCAAGGGCCAGGACAAGGGGCGGGGCCTGAAGCCCACCCTGCAAGAGGGGCGCCCAGAGCCACCACCAAGCAGCAGCCCTCCTGGTCTTCACTGTCTCTGTGATAATGAAGATACTGATCCAGGCAGGAGGAACAGAAAGGGGCTCCCGTGCTCTGAGCACTTGTTCCGAGCTAGCACCAGTGCCCAGAGCTGCCTGGGCTGTCCCTGCCAGGCACAAGAGGAAAGCAGAGTGGCTGTGAAGCTTCACGAGAGGCTCAGGGCCTTTGCTCGGCTGTTTCCTCAGCCTGGAACATTCTCCCTCAGACTCCCACAGAGCTCCACCCGCCCCTCCTCAGGACTTCAGAGGGCTTCTCAGCGAGGCCCTTCCTGACCATCCGTTTAAAATAGTGACCCCCAGACATCCACCGTCCCCCTCCCACTGGAGCATCAGCTGGCTGAGAACGGGAACTGTCCTCTGCCAGACATTTCCCGGCACCCAGAATACAGCCCGGCATGGAGCTCTGCTCGGCCAACACCTGGGGAGAAGGTCACATAGGCCAGGCCCAGAGCCCCCTCTCCAAGTCCACCCTCAGCTTCTCTGAGCCAATACCTCAATCCTCCTTCACTACACTCTGGAGGGCCCTGCCCACCACACTAAAGCCCAGAGCAAAAGCAGGCACCCGGGTACAGAACTGCCTGCAGGAGGCCTCACTCCAGGGAAGCTTCTGTGAGGGCCCCACTTAGGCCCACTCAGCTCCAGTGACCCTGTGGGGCCCAGCACGCTGGCTACCAGACCCTCCTCTCCGGCACTGGGGCACCTCCCGTCTCTCACCAAGCTGACCAGGGCATGAGGGCTCTGGCTCCTTGGGAAGCTGGGCTGTCCTTCACGGGTAACCCCAACATGCCGACGGGCTCTACACAGCCTGGGCCCTCAGAGGCAGCACCCAGGCCCAGTGGCCCCTCATGAGGAGAGTAAGGACCCAAGGGCCAGCAACGGGCTTGCCCCCTCAGCTGTGCTTCCCTTCCCTAGGCTCTGAAGACAAAAAGACTCACCTATTTCCTGGCTGTGTAGCCCTGGACAAGTTAAGCAACCTCTCTGAGCCTCTTTCCTCACCTGCAAAGTGGGCTGTTCTCACCTGCCATCTCACAGGATTACTGTAGGAATTACTGAGATGATGATAACCAAAATTTTCAAGGTAC